GGAGGAAGTGACGTCCCACAACGCGACTCCCCAGCTTCACCCGCCTCCCGGAAGTGCGTCGTGCTGCAGTATTTTGGTTCAGTCTCAAGTCCTGTCTTTTTTTTTTTCTTTTGGTTTTTCGAGACAGAGAACTTTGGAGGCTGTCCTGGAACTAGCTCTGGTAGACCAGGCTGATCTCGAACTCACAGAGATCCTCTGCCTCTGCCTCTGCCTCCCAAGAGCTGGGACTAAAGGCGTGCGCCACCACCGCCCGGCTAGTCCTGTCTTTTTTGGACGTTCTAGGTGAGGGACTACAGAAACACAGCCTGAGGTTTCGGCTAAGATATGAAAGACAAGAAGGAGTTAACTATGAGAGAGGAACACCGTTTAGATGGAAACAGCATGTACTAGTAATTTGTAGTATGTCTGTTGGGGTCTGAAAGAACACAGAAACACTAAGGGAAGTTTGGCGATCTTTGGGAGATGGACAGGTTTAGTGTTCTGGTTGCCACATGGGGGTTTCGTTTGTTTGTTTTGCTTTTGGTGGTTTTGTTTTGTTTTTTATTTATTTTTATTTATTTTTTTTTGGTTTTTTCGAGACAGGGTTTCACTGTGTAGCTTTGGAGCCTGTCCTGTAACTCGCTCTTGTAGACCAGGCTGGTCTCGAACTCACAGAGATCCTCCTGCCTCTGCCTCCCGAGTGCTGGGATTAAAGGCGTGCGCCACCACCGCCCGGCGGTTTTGGTTTTTGTTGTTGCTTCGAGACAGGGTTTCTCTGTGAAACTCTGGCTGTTCTGGAACTCAGGAAGACAGAAGAGGGCTTAGGGACCTATTGGACCTGGAGTTCCCGGCAGTTGTGAATCATTTGGCATAGGTGCTGGATATTGAACTCTGCAATCGCTCTTAACTTCTGAGTCATCTCTTGGTTCCAAACGTATTTTTGGAGATTTGCTCATCTATCCAAGTTTTGTTAGCACTATTCCTGACATGATCCTATAATATGGATATACACTTTATTTAATCATTTTTCTGAATGATTTCTTTATTTCAAATGTTGATGAGTAAAGCTGCTGCTTTTTTGGTGTGCGTGCGCTGGGGGGGGGGGTTCGAGACAGGGCTTCTCTGTGGCTTTGGAGGCTGTCCTGGAACTAGCTCTTGTAGACCAGGCTGGTCTAGAACTCACAGAGATCCGCCTACCTCTGCCTCTCGAGTGCTGGGATTAAAGGTGTGCGCCACAACCTCCAGGCAAGCTGCTGCCTTTTTAGCATCAAATTTCTTCATGAACATGAATAGCATTTTGTATTAGTTTGCAAAAATTCTCACCTTCCAAGTTCTTCACTGCTGCTTTACCTGTCCAATCCATTGCAGCCAAAGTGGCTTTTAAATTAAATGGCATTTCTCTGTACAAAACCTACCAGCAGCTTCTTAGAGCCAAATAAATAAATTGGGGGAGGGGGAGGGGGTGACTGGAGAGCTGGCTTAGTGGTTAAGAAACTTAGCTGGAGCTGGGCAGTGGTGGTGCACGCCTTTAATCCTAAAACTCAGGAGGCAGAAGCAGGAGGATCGAAGTGAGTTCGATGCCAGCTTGGTCTACAGAGTGACTCCCAGGACGTCAAGGTCTGTTACACAGAGAACCCTGTCTCAAAAAAAACAAACAACACTAGGTGGTCTTCCAGAGGTCCTGAATTCAATTCCCAGCAACTACATGACGGTTCACAACCATCTGTAATGACATCTGGTACCCTCTTCTGACCTGCAGGGATATATGCAGAAAGAACACTGTATACATAGATAATTAAAAGTCTTGCTGGGCGGTGGTGGTGCACACCTTTAGTCCTAGCACTCAGGAGGCAGAGGCAGGCAGATCTCTGTGAGTTCGAGGCCAGCCTGGTCTACAGAGTGAGTTCCAGGACACCTCCAAAGCTACAGAGAAACCCTGTCTTGAAATAACCATAAGTAAATAATAAATAAACAAATCTTGAAAAAAAATTGGGCTGGGCGTTGGTGGCACATGCCTTTAATCCCAGCACTAGGGAGGCAGAGGCAGGAGGATCACTGAGAGTTTGAGGCCAGCCTGGTCTACAGAGCGAATGCCAGGATAGGCTCCAAAGCCACAGTGAAACCCTATCTCGAAAACAAAAAAAAAAAAAAAAAAAAAAAAAAAAAAAAAAAAAAAAAGAAGAAAGAAAAAAAGAAAAAAACTGGAAGCGGTAGACTTCCAAAACTTTTAGTTTTGCTATGGAGAACAAACTAACAGATGGGAGAGACATGGGACATGGGTTCAAGGAAGTCTTCTTTGCTTGCTTTGCTTGTTTTCAAAACAGGGTTTTTCTATATAGCTCTGACTGTCCTGGAACTCACTATGTAGAGCAGGCTGGCCTCGAACCAGAAGATCTGCCTGCCTCTGCCTCAAGTGCTGGGATTAAAGCTGTTTACCACCACCAACTGGCTTATTTGCATCGTGTGTGTGTGTGTGTGTGTGTGTGTGTGTGTGTGTGTGTAGGTGATATTGTAATTTGATGGAGGTCAGAGGACTAGTGGGAATTGGCTCCCTTCTTCCATCACTTGGATCCTAGGGACTTAACTAGGGCTGGCTGCAGGCACATATACCCTCGGAGCCATCTGGATGGCCCGCTTTGTTTTTATATACTCATGGCACCTGACCTGGAAAATATATGAAAACTGGTAAGACAGAGGGGCACACACTAAAGAAATGTTATAAAGTAAGTTTCCAGCCATTGTGCTTCCATTTATTTGCTCAGAGCCTGCACTTCTCAAGAATATAAAAATGTACATCTAATCATGTCTAACTCTGAGTTGAAACTTTTAATCTCATTTACTTTCTGTAAAAACAAATGAACACTTAACCTGTCCTCCAAGGATTTTTTTGTTTTGTTTTTGAGACAGGGCCTCACTATGTAACCCTTGGTTGGCCTAAAACTGTAGGTAGACCAGGCTGGCTTTGAACTCACAGAAATCTGCCTTCCTCTGCCTGGGTTAAAGATGTGAACTACCATGCCTGTCACACATACAAGGTTCTGGCTGGCTTGTTTTAGAAACAAGAGTCTTAGCTGTCCCCAATCTCAAGACAATTTTCCTGCCTCAGCCCTTTGAGTGCAGAGATTATAGGCATAAATCACCACACCGAGATAGACTTTTTAAATGTAGAGACAACTAAATATACGGAGCACTATAGTAGCTGCTGGCTGAAATAAACAAATGGCACTTTGTGTTCATTTTGGTAAACTTACAGCATAGCTAGAAAGACATAGGTAGGCTTGGGAGGTTTGCTAAAGGAAAGAATACTTAGGTGCTACTACAATGTCTCACAAGGTAAGAGACAGTGTCAGAGACAGGAACAAAAGGCCTAAAGTCTTTCGGGAATTAAAGGGTGTAGGGAGACACCCTAGCCCCGCCCAATAGTCCTGGGACAGGTACCAGGTGGACCCGGGACTCGCCCATAAGGGCGTGGTGAAGGAAAGCCGGGGTGACGTAAGGGAGCTTCTTAAGGGGCTGCATGTGGGGACCCGGGCCTTTTTGTTCTGGCCGCGCTTGCTGGGTTCTATAACCTAGCTCTGGCCTGTGTTTTGCCTTGGTGTCTTCTTGAATAAAGAGACTTTAAACAAAAGGGTGTTGTGCATTGTTTTGGCTCTTTAGTCTTTTTGTGTGGTGGGTCACCGAGCTCCCAAATAAATCACCCACAGAGGTTTACTATTATTTATGAATGGCCAGCCTTAGCTTGGCGTTTCTACCCAGCTTTTATCTTAAATTATCTCATCTACCTTTTGCCTCTGGGCTTTTACATTTTCTTTTTCTTTTTTGATTTAATAAAGTTTTATTTTTCCAAATGTACAGCTGATTGAACCTGTTTATGCATCTTCACCAGCAGCTGGGGCAACTCCACCCTTTGTGTTTCTGGTGTAAATTACTTGGGCTCTGTGCTTTGAAACCAGCTTGATAAGCCCTTTACTGAGTAGCTCCTGAAGGGCTGCCCTGGCCAAGGAACCTCGAATCTACAGTCTCTCAGAGACCACAGCTGGAATAATTGGGTACTTCCTTAGAGAGTTTGTCATATGTAGCTTTGTCAAACAGGACTAGATTGTTGAGCTTGTCCCAAACTTTGCCTTTGGACCACTTCTTTTTGGCCTTGCCACCATACTTATTTACTGGGTCTTTGTCTTTCTTGGCCAACTTCCCGGCATCTTCTTCTTGTCATCCTTAGGCGGCATGATGAAGCTCAGAGAGGGGCGAAGACCACTGCAGCCTCCACTAAGATGTCTGCTTTTACATTTTCTTACTGCTGTCTATCTTACTTTACTCTTACTCCGTGTCCTGCTGTGTAGCTGGGTGGCTGATACCTAATATCCTCCTCCCCTTGTTCTCTCATTGCTCCCCG